GCCCCTCGCACCCCCCCCCGCCCCCCCCCCCCCTCCCAGCCCCCGTCACTGCCCATCAGGCCGCCGCCCGGCTGCCTGCTCCCCCCTCCTCCCCCTTCCCACCCCCCACAGCGGCTGGGTCTGATGCCCCACCCTGGCAGGGAGAAACACAGACCCTGGTAATGGAGCAAGCCCCGTGGCCTGGGCTGAGCCCCTGGAGGGAGTCTGGCTCCAGGCAACTGCTGCCTCTGGGGAAGTGCCTGGCCTGGGGGGAAGCGAACACGGTCAAGATGGGCAGGGAGGAGGCAGCGTCGGTGTCGACATACAGAATATAGCTGAGCCCTGTGTGGTGTCCTGTGGCGGAGGCGGGAGCAATGGGTGTCTCCCCAGGATTTGTGTGTGTAGATTTGGGGGTAGCTCCCAGGATCTGGAGCTGTGTGTGTGGGTGGGGGGGTTCTCTGGGGGAGGGGCAGTGAGGAGATCTGAGGGGTCTGTGCTTCCTTTTCACACCCAAGATGTTTCCCCTTTTCTAACTCTCTCTGTTGCCATTAGCAGCTCTCCTCTGGCTCTGAGACTCTGACCGTTAATTCCCCAACTCCTTGGCTTTCCCCACTGCTGGGTGCTGCCCTAGCCCCCATGCCAAGCGGCTGGCTGCCCTGAGAGGGGTCAGACCAGTGCCTTAGAGGGGAAGGTCCCATCCCATCCCCCCAGTCTAGGGCTGGGTTGGAACAACTGTGGAATAACGCAGCCTGTGGGGAAGTGTCCCTCTAACCTGGCCATTAGGGTGCCTCATGCCTTGAGTCGCCGGGGTGGGGTGGGGTGTGTTACAGCTCGTTATTTTGATCCTGTTGAATGTAACTGGCTGTTCTCGTTCTCTTGGCTCAATGAGCTCTTGTGGCAGAGAGTTCCACAGGTAAACTATGCATTGTATAAAAATCATTTTCCTTGCTCCGTTTTAAATTCATCTCCGTTTAGTTTTGGTGACTGACCCCTTGTTCCCATGTTAGCAGAGAGGGTACGTGGGGCGCCATGTTCACCCGCTCTCTTATCACTCCCTCCCATCCCATCTCTGAGCAGACAGGCTTGTCTCTCTCTCTCTGGGTCCTTCCTTTCTGGGAGATGTGGCTGCATGTTGCACGTGCTCCAGGGAACGGGTGTGAGGCCACAACCCTCTTGTTTGTGACTCCTTAGCACAGGTGGATGTCATGGGGAGACCTTTGAGAAACCCCTGAGAAGGAAGACAGGGCAGCACAGGCAGGGCCCTGCTGGCGCGTGGTTTGAGCTTGGTTTTCCTCTTGTGGCTTCTGTGTCATGGCAGCTTTTATTTATAATTTGTTCCCTCTCACCCTCCCCATCTTATCGGCCTGTGCTCCCTGTGCAGTCGCTTCCTCCAGGATGACAGCGTCACTACCAAGTAACCGCTATAGTCATCTCCTTCCCCGCACAGACGTGACAGTCACTGTCCATGGCTCACTTGGTGACCTTGGGGACAAGTTCCTTACCCTTCCTTGAACTCTGTGCGTCCATCTGTATGGTAGAGGGGATGATCCTGACTGGGACAGATGGCCCCAGCAGCTCTCGGGCCAAGCTGCCCCGTGGTACTGCTGCAGATTTGGGGCTTCTGCTAAAACCATGCCGTCCGTATGGTTGTGAAGGACCTTCCGAGCATGCTGCCCTCGCCCCGCCAAGGCGTACAGGGCTCTCTGGGCCCTGGCATGAATTGGAGAAGGGCTGGATCCTTTACCCAGGCTGCCAGCTGTGTCCTAGAGAGAGTCTCCTGGGGTGTGAGCAGCTCACAGGACCCTCTGCCCCTGGAGGGAAAAGCAAACCCTTTCCACGGGCCCTTAAATGAAGGGCACAACCATTGCCTGTAGTTAGGGAGCCATTCCCCAGAGGACAGGAAGCAAAAGGTCACCCCAGGAGGGGGAAGGGAAAAGTAGGAGGTGATCCTTTGTTTACTGCACCCTGGTGCTGCAGGGGTCTGTGCAGTGAGACAGAGCTCTTCTCCTTGAGCCTGTGGGATTATAGCATCCTGTACCTGGCTTTCTGGGGGGACGGGGCAGTCCCCAGAACCGTTGTGAGGGTTGGAATTGGTCTGGGTAGCAGTAATGGGGACTGATCGGCTGTGACTTTTCTTTGGCAGGTGAAGCAGGAGCGGGGACCGTCCAGCCGCCACCATGGTTGCCCTATCGCTGAAGATCAGCATTGGCAATGTGGTGAAGACCATGCAGTTTGAACCCTCCACCATGGTGTACGACGCCTGTCGGATCATCCGGGAGCGCGTGCCTGAGGCACAAATGGGGCAGCGTAAGTGACAGGACCCCCAGAGGCGCAGGGGGTAGAGATGGAAAACTCCCATCAGGTCCCTGTCCCCAGCCAGAACCATCACTTTGCCAGGGGTACTTATCCCCAGCAGCGGGGCTCCCTTCCCAGCTGGGAGACCAATCCTCAGCCTGACGCATCTTGCGGCTGCTCCAGCTGGATTTCCCCTTAACTCCACCCGTTCCTCGTTATGCCCCCAGATACCACCCCAAATAATGCCAAGTCTTTCTGGGGCTTGACGCCCTTCAGATTCCTGTCAATGCTGTGCCCTGTATCCTGAGGTTTAGCGTTTGCAACCGCTGAGGTCTAGTCCTGGCTCGGCAGCTTTGGGCAGGTTCGTTCCCCTTTCTGCATGTATCCCACGTGGCACGAGTGAGAACGTTACTGGATTTTTATGGCCAAAAGCAATGGTGAAGCCCAGGGGCTTACCCCAGCAAGAGAGTGGGACCCACAGGCGGTTCACACTCTAAAGGGGTGCTCTCTGGGACGATTACAGGACCTCAGAGAGAGCACTGGACCTGTGACTCCATGACAGAGGGTATCCAAATAATTCCCATTGGCCACCGCCAGCACCAAGGGGACAGAGGGGGAAGTGGCACAGGAAACCTTCCCCTGCCCCCACATTTCGTCCCTTAATAGTGCTCAAGGGAATCCTGTGGCTGAGAA